AAGCTGGGGACACCCTGCCCGGCCGGGGTCTGGGCCTGCCTTCGCCCGCGGCAGCCACGTTCTGAGCTGAATTTTGCCTCTCGTGTGTGTGTGTGAAACAACTGGCGTCTTTTAGCTGTAGGGGGTAATTCATAGTACCGTCGGTTCTGCTGAAATAAAAGTATCTCAAGAATTAAGGTGTCACGTTTTACTATACACGTACAGGCGTAGCAGTTATCATGCTCGTAAAATGCGTTGCTTGTTCTCGGGTCCTGCCCGGGTGCAGGTAAAGGGTAATTAAGAGTCATGAGGTGGTATGATAATAGCTTTTATGTTATGTCGGTTAACTACAAAACTGCTGTTAAGAAACCAGCATAAATAATACTTATCTTGCGTATAGAGACCAGTATTCCGACTGTCACTGCGCAGAGTGATGGCGGAGGATGTTTGCGCTGGCCTTGCCCATCGCCATTCTCAATGAAACATTTCAGTCATAGGATGCTGGCAATTTTACTTACGTGGTTTTGCAGAAATACTCCTTTAAATACAGTATTCTCCCCCTTCACCCCTGAAATTAGAAAAGGGGAACCCTTAAAGGAAGGAAGAATACCTGGCAAGGTGCATTAGTTCACAGACCCTTTAACTATGACTAGTCTTAGTGCTAACCATACTAGTTTTCTGAGTACAAATTGCACGCATCTTCATAATTTTTGTTGTGAAAGAGGAAAAGTAGAACAAGAATGCAACACGTAACAGCCCTTCTGAACAGAGACCTGTTTTGATCATTTTAAACTTCCATATCATCCATTTGCTTAAAAAGAAACTTTCATTGTTGCAAGAACAAATTAGAATGTCTGCAATAAAGGTAAAAAATAACTGTATCCACTATTCCTAGCTTTGTCTAACGTTTGTCTAACATGGTAATTTTCAGTGATGCTGCTGGGGGATTTGTTGATTTCAGTTATGTCTTTGAGTCCTGATAGGTCAGATCCCTTTTCAGTATTTTCAGCTCTTTGCTGCACTAGTGCTTTTTTGTTACCCTGTCAGTGCAATAGTTAGTGTCAGTAAGCAGTTTAGTGAGTTCACGCTGCTATGACAGACCTGCATTTGCATTAGCTGGCATCAGAGCTTAACAATGAAGTTTACTTGGCTTTAAGCCTGAGCTTTTATTGTAGACCATGACGTTTACTTTAGAAGGAGTCTAGTATCAGTAGCCCAACCTGTGTGTCTCAACATGTGTTGAGATGTCAGAAGGGATGAACTTGCATGTCCTGTCTCGTAGTTGTTTGGTCACTTCTAATGAAGTCTGAAATAAATCTTTTGAAGTTCAAAATTAAATAGGAACTTAGAAGGTGTTTCACCTGTGTACCCTCATGTTATCCTACACCAGCTGTCAGAAGTGGCTGGCCATCGAGTGGTATTATGTGAAGAATGCTTCAAGGGTTAAAGGGGAAGCTTGGTCTTCCCCCACCCCCACCCCTGATACAAAGTAATACAGCGCACTCCTAACTTGAAAATTTAAAAATCTGTGTTTATGGTTCCTCATCTTCATGTCACCTGGTAGCCTTTGTGGGGGGAGCTGTCATATTTGTTGTGCCACTTGTGTCCCTGAAAAGTAAAAATATTTGGGATATTACTGACTTGACGAATTTGTTTCTTGTTTTTGCAGCACGTCAGTGCTTTCATGCTGTAAAGTTGATAAAGAGAGATTGCCTTCCATCACTGCACGTCGCAAGATGTGCATCTACTGCCCCTGTGCCTCGCATAACTACGCATTATACAATTCATCCTCGGGACAAGGACAAACGATGGGAAGGTAAGTGAAAAAATGCATTCTTGAAAAGCTTCTTTATTATTGTTATTGCTCAGCTTTAAAGACACTGAAATGTGTTGCTGTTTTTTTTCTTTTTACAGAAATTCTATACTCTTAAATACAGTACTTATATTCCAAATGAAATTTTGTGGTTGCTATCTGTCACAGTGAGTGTCTTTAGTGCTATAAAATGGGGTCAGATTAAACTTGATCCTAGTTATTTAAAGAAAATATGTAAGCAGCTTTTGCTTTAGTGACTATCACAACAAGTTTTAATTCTGTCAGGTATGGATCAGTTGGATTTTTTCACTTGTTCTTACCATGAGAGTTTGTGAGAAAGTAAGATTTGATATATATCTCTGGGCATTTCAGTCTCTACGTTCAGCAATTTGAATGGCTTCAATTTGAGAAAAGATACTGATCAATGAGTGTTAAAAAAAAAAAAGAACAAACCAGAAACCAAAACAAAACCAAAAACCAAACAAAAAACCTGCCAGTAACTTGTTCTGAATAAGGATCTTTTTTTCTTGTCTTTCTCCCATACCTAGAGTTTCACTGAGGGTCTGATACAGCTAGCCAACAGGGCTCTTAAGTTTAACATTCTAAGATGATACCTACTTACAATGCATAGAAATTGAGTATATGTTTTTATGGTATATTTCCTTACCACTTAAAAAAAAAAGCTAATTTTACATTGGGATGCCAGTATCCTGCAGTCTTCCAAGTACTGAAGTGGGGGTTCTGTTAAATATTTAGCCTCCTTTTATGCAAGGTATATTACTGCAATACCCAGTAGCCAGTGTTACAGAGCAAGGTTTAGTGAGAGAGAGGCTGGGACAATATGAAGATAAATCAAGCTTACTTTTTTATTTTTTCTATTGAAGGGGTAAACATGGAAAGATTTGCAGAGGAAGCTGATGTTGTCGTTGTTGGAGCAGGCCCTGCGGGTCTTTCTGCAGCTATTCGACTCAAACAGTTAGCTGCTGAGCACAGCAAAGAAATACGTGTTTGTCTGGTGGAAAAGGCTTCTCAGATTGGTGCGCATACGCTGTCTGGTGCTTGTCTTGAGCCAAGGGCCTTACAAGAACTCTTTCCGGACTGGAAGGAGCGGGGGGTATGTATGAGCATGTAAACACTGAAATTAATCGCTAGCTTGTAAGGAACTCCATGTCTGACTCATTCTGGTAAAACTCTAGTACCTTGGTGCTTAGTACTATTTTAAAATGTGTTGATCTAACAAAACAAAAAAACCCTTCTTTTCTTTATAGTCTGTTTCCTCTAGTTCGACATTGCTAAACTTTTATGTCTACACAGATATGCGTTGGCCTTTGCTGTTTTATCTAGTAGCCTTACTGCATATACGCAGTATGTCTGGTGCATCCTGGGATGCACTACACTTACAGTAGTCGTGCAGAATCCGGCTCCTGTGCACAAAGCAGTAAGGTGGTCAGTTCTTAGCAATGTCAGACTTGTTGCTTCTGTATGATAGTTCTTCATAGTCTCAGGAAATGGCATGTAGTACACTGATTTTTGTGCAGACATAGTGGTGTAACAGAGGCCTAAGATGCCTTTAGGAGGGAGGATAGCAAGAGATGAGCTGCCATCTCTGCCAGGACAGCCATCTGACTTGCAGCCAGCTGCCTGCTATCACCTGGGAGCTGCAAGAAGTAGGCTATTGACCAGTTGTCTTGTCTTACCAGGCTAAACACGCAAGTTGAGCTGCCTTGTTTAGAAAGGTCTAGAATATTGATGTAGTACAAGCCTGCGTACGAACTGTAGAAGTTATTTGTAAGGCCCTGTTCCAGGTTTTTTACCTCAATAGGTGTGTTAATTCTTACCTGATGACTGCCTCGTAAGGTACCTTATCGTCTCTCATCATACTTTTCCTATAGAAGTGCTTTATTAAACCTTTAATTGACTGCCAGTTCGATCATTTGATTTTATTTGTTGTTGTTTTTGTTGGATTGGCTCGGTACTATTTCTGTTTTCTTTTTTATGTAGGCTCCACTTCATACCCCTGTAACTGAAGACAAGTTTGGAATTTTAACAAAGAAATTCAGAATTCCAGTGCCAATTCTTCCAGGTACAGTTTGGCGAGGTGGTAAAAAGTCATCTTTCGCAGTATCTTTTTCAACTTTTCTACAAATGAAACAATTGATTTGATTCAATGTAGCAAGTATATGTAGAATGTAACAGTGTCCAGCGATAAGGGTCCCTGTAGATGGCAGCTGTGATAACACACGATATCACTGTGAAGATAGTAGTTGTAGAAAAAGATACAACATCTGATGTATACAACTTTTGTTATTTTGCTTAGTGTTCTATGTTTTGTGTGTGTATCTTTTTTTTTTTTTTTTGCTTAGGACTTCCAATGGTCAATCATGGAAATTACATAGTACGTCTGGGCCACTTCGTGAGTTGGCTCGGCGAACAAGCAGAAGCTTTGGGTGTTGAGATTTATCCAGGCTATGCAGCAGCTGAGGTAATGATGACATCAGTGTGTATATGAAAAGCGTTTTTGGAACCCACTTCATTTGATTCCCAATTTATTTGTACGTTCACAGCATTCCTCTTAAAAGAAGTTTATTGTGCAAACTCTGTTTCGGTGTCTAAACTCCCTGGCCCAGAGCCAGCAAAGTGCAAGTGGATCATATAGTATGTTAATAAATAAATAATACTTCAAGTTTGACCATTAAAGACATAGTGCTTAGAAGTTCTGCATTAGCACTTTTTATGAATGGATTAAAATGACAGATCATTAAAAATGTTTTTGTTTGTTTGTTTAAATATTTCCAAAGGTTCTTTTTCATGAAGATGGTAGTGTGAAAGGGATAGCAACTAATGATGTAGGCATTCAAAAGGATGGAGCACCTAAAGTAAGTAGCTATCTTCCCCATAACTAGAGCTCTAATTGTGGAAACTGTGTTATATCTGCTTCTACTGCCATCGGTAATCTTGCTGCAGCCTAAGAAAAAGTGCAAAATTCATTATCTGTCTTCCCTCTCTGTATGTAAAATGGACCAATTACCTGTGAATGTTCAGGTCTCAGAACACTGTAAACCTTTTCTGAAATTAGTAGAAAAAGCCTTCACAGAAAGGAGGTTTGTTTGAGGGTGGCTTGAAGGAAATATTTGAAGGATGTTTTGGCATATGTGAAATCAGAAAACAAAGGAAAGAATTCCAGAAACTCCTAGAAAAAAGGTGCAAAGGTGAAGTAGAAAGCTGTTGTCCAGCTGGTAACTAGCAACATGTAGGAGAGTGTGCTGCTGGCTGATTAGTTTTCTTTGATATTTACAACTGCAGTTGCACTTGTTGACAGTCTGTCTACCTTGTTGGGGTAAGGTACACACTGGATCTTTATACCTTTTTGCTGGTTCGTCACATTTCTGTATCCAGAAGGTGACTCCCTGCCCTAAGTGTTGGACTTTGACTGATTTTTAGTGGAATCCAGAACCTGCAGTAAGCATGTCGCTTCCCTGTAACAATACGTAGGGAGAATTTGGCACCTCAGAATAACTGAGAACAACTTTTACACAGAATTATTTGGCTACAGAAATTATGGGTACAAGTTTTTTCTTAAGATTTACTTTCTTTTATAAGGTTTCTTACTAGTTACGTAGAGTTTCAAAGAGGTATTTACTTCCACATAGAAGTGTGGGCTGTTTTTCCCATTTAAGGCTGGGGACGAAAAGACTCATTCTTGTTTTAAGAGAATATAATAAATGGAGGATGAAGGGGTGGCAGAGGAAAGGAATATATTTTCCCAGTATAACATTCTGTTCCCTGTAGGGAACGGGCACGCCCTTATTTTCAGGTCTGCATTTTCTCCAGTAGGAGGCGCAAGTAATGCATACAACTTGCTACCGTAATAAAGATTAATTGGGAGTTTGGTTTGGTTTTAAAATGGGAAGGAACTATGATTTCTTTTGTTTGCTTTAACCATCCGCAAAAGCTAGATTGTTTTTTTTTTTTTTCCCATTTATTCTGGAAGAACGTGTCTATTAACTTCTTTAATGTAGATAATTAGTGTACCACTACTGCAAACTTTATGCGTACTCAAGTGTGTTGACTGTCAGTTAGGTCAGCTGACAATACTTCCAGCGTATAAAAGTTCAGGTAAATAAATGCAGTTTGTATAACCTTCAAGGCAAGAATATCTTCAATGTGTTTGTACAGAGCCTAATCAAATAGACTGTGGTTAATGAATAGAGTTTCACCTTGAAGTCAGCGCCAATCAAACAAAAATGCCAGTGGTAAAAATATATAGGAAAAAGTTGCACACTGATTCTTGTGTAGCTGCTGGAGAAGGATGTTAGCTGTGAAATAACTTTTCACATTACTGAAATGTTTCAGATTCATGGATGTCTGATACTTACAATGTGGAGTTGTAGTTAATGGATTTACTTTATATAAATCTACTTCAAATTGGACAGTATGTATTTTTCATCTTTAGATCAAGTAGTAAGTCCCTTTAGTTCTCTTACTAATCAGTAAGATTAATTGCTTTTCAGGTTGACAATCAGAAATTCAAAGAATACACAAAAAAAGGCAAAACCTTGTAACTCCTGCTTAAAGGTAAATCCTGACTAGAGGGAACATTTTCTTTTGATAGCCTTTTTCAGAGGTTTCCAACCAGTAAATTACAAGCAGATTTCACCTGAGACACAATTCAAAACCAAAGCAATAAGCTTCTCCTGGATGTGTGCTGGCTTATCTTGAGGTGGTTTTATTGGATACTGCTGGGTATCTTCATCCAAAACTGTTTTTGTTATCTTTTTCATTAAAATTCTCATTAAACTTTCTCCCTCAAATCAAGCTTTCTTTCTTTTTTCCCCTGCAAGATTATGTATATTCAGAATCTTGTATCCTTACATTGCAAATATAATCTAGTAATATTCTCAGCCAGTGTGCTCACTTATGCAGATAACATGCTCATACGTGAGTACGCCGGTTCCCTTTATCCTACTCTCAATGTCATTGTTGGAATTTTTGGTAAGAATTCTTTTTTATAGCAGTACTTAATGATAGTTTAATTTTACTGTATGTTTTAACTTACAAGATTGGTGTAATATTATAATAACTTTATTCTGAGGTAGTGGGTTCTTTTGGGGGCAGGGGTGATACAGGTTTTTCTGATCTGGTGTATCTCTCCAGCCTCTGTCCGGGGGGGAGGAGGGGAGGCATAATGTTTTATTATAATGTGACTTCATGAGCAAAAATTGGAAGTGTGAAGTCATAGGTGAAGATTCTGGAACACGCTGGAACATGTCCAGAGGAGAGCAACCAAGCTGGTGAGGGGTCTGGAACACAAGTCATACGAGGAGCGGCTGAGGGAACTGGGGTTATTTAGTCTGGAAAAGAGGAGGCTGAGGGGAGACCTGATCACCCTCTACAACTGCCTGAAAGGAGGCTGTAGGGAGGTGGGGGTCGGCCTCTTCTCCCTGGTAACAGATGATAGGATGAGGGGGAATGGTTTGAAGCTGCGCCAGGGCAGGTTTAGGCTAGACATTAGGAAAAACTTCTTCACTGAAAGGGTTGTCAGGCTCTGGAATGGGCTACCCAGGGAGGTGGTAATGTCCTCCTCCCTGGAGGTATTTAAAAGAAGGATAGATGAGGTGCTTAGGGACAGGGTTTAGTGGTGGGATGTCAGGGTTAGGTTAAAGGTTGGACTCGATGATCTCAAAGGTCTTTTCCAACCGAAGTGATTCTATGATTCTTTGTTCTATCAGGGTTCCTTTGCACCATGTGAATGAGCAGATGTGATAAAGTATCCTCCAATCTGGAAAAGATTCCCTTTTTCAGAAACAAATGGTGATTCACTGTAGTGCTGCTCTATTGGAATCCCCTTACAGGATTTGCCAGGAGTGCGTCATGGTTAGGTAGAAAAGACAAATGGACTAGAGCCATAGCTTGCAATGGCTTCTAGGTTCTGGGCAGTGCCACAAAGTAGTGTAATATCACTTTATTGTCCTCCAGTTTCTTGCTACGAGTTTGGTGTGGCACAGATCTAACTGCTGATGAAATGCTCTATTTTGCAGGCTACCTTTGAAAGAGGCTTGGAACTCCATGCTAAAGTCACGGTCTTTGCTGAAGGTTGTCATGGGCATCTAGCCAAACAGCTGTACAAAAAATACAATCTAAGGGAGAAATGTCAACCCCAGAGCTATGGCATTGGACTGAAAGAGGTATCACCTGCCTAATTTTAACAATTCAGGAAAATACTGTGAAGCTATAAGGTAGTTTCTATTTGCTTTCAAGCTAATTTGTGTAAGACATTAGAATGATAGATTTTGAGTTACACTTTCAGACTTCAGAATCTTTGCTATTCTGAAGCTGATCAGAGATGCTCCCTGAATGTTGTGACTGCTTTGCTTTTATCTGTATCATAACTAGAGGTACCTATGAATCCACTCTGTTACCTTCTTAATTTGATTTCAAATTACATTCATTTGTGAAATCTGTTTTCAGTACTTTTGGTAAATGAGGGATTCATGCTGCCTAATTTTAGGGGGTTTTAGTATCTGAGGAGGGAAGGAAAGGCTTTCTATGGTTTTTGTGTATATTCATGAGAGAGAGAGAGAGAGAGAAGGGCTGTTTCAGATGATGACTCATGCTCTCTGAAACACTTTATGGATGACCTTTTTTTTTTTTTCCTGAAAGAATCCCTTCACTGGGCTTACAAAATTGGGATAAGGATCAGGTTTCCTTTTTGAAATATTGTCTACTTGGGAGATATCACTCATGAAAAAGAGCTGTATTATTTAGAATATATTCAAAGTTTGACAATAACATATTCTTTATTTATTACTTTAAGCATGTGATTCTAGCTACAAATTATTTGTTAAATAATTAGTTTGCACTTCTGCAGCGAATAACCACTCTGTAAATGTTCCTTTGTATGACATAGTCTTAGTCACAATTTCTAATACCTAAGTTGTCATTAAAGCAGGGGTTTGCTTCCAGATGAGTCTGTGTCTGTTGTAGCAAATAGTACAGTCCAATAGGAACGGATCTGTAAAGTGAAATAGTTGGTGCTGATGAGCTGATGTCCATGTTACACACATTTCAAGGTTATTTTTACTTCAGACTAGCTTTGGTCTAGTCCTGTGGACTGAGCGCTTTTTCATGACTGGAATGCTTCCAGTCAGCTTCTGGAGCCTGTCTTACAGTTCAGTTTCACATAAAAGGAATCCAGTTCCTGCCTTCCATGGCTGCTGTATGATATGAACCAAAGCACAGTAAGTGGGAGGAATCAGGAGGTCCTGCTCAACAGTGTGCTGCTTAATCTAAGCTGGAACAGTAACGTAGATGTGCCCTCCATGCATGAGCTGATCTAAGGGTGCTCAACTGCCCTCTGTCATTAGACTGCACCTGGCACATAGCTCCATGGTGAAGAGATGTTTTGTGAAATGAGCAGAAAATTGACTCACTGGTGGAAACATGAAGATGCTTCTATGCATTCATTGTGGGTCAGATGAGTACTGGGGGTGTGTAGGAGAGAGCAGAGAGAGAACAACCTGTTTGACAGCAAATATTTGGATCAATTCAGACATATTGTTAAGCCTGACCTTGAAAAGCTTGTGAAGAAATTGCAGTGATTCATATGAAAAATTAAAGTTTTTAAGGAAAAGAGTCAATGTAAGCATTGCATTCCTTAGCAGAAGTATCTATCAAAGTCACTAATATAAAGGGTCTTGTGGTTGAATGAAAATTTTGGGTATAGTGCTGGAGTCTCAGTCACATTTCCTGATGTGCAACATTTCAAGAAAGAGAAGGATTAGGAAATTCTTAAATGGAAATCCAAAACAGGTATTTTTACTTATTACCTGGTATTTTGCTGTATGAGTTTATGTGTTGGTCATAGCAATAAATTTATGTTCTTTATTTAATTGTGTGTCTTTTATTGTATTATTGAAAGGCCATTTTTTTGTGATCTTCATTTCAGTTATGGAATATTGATGAAAAGAAATGGAAACCAGGAAGAGTAGAACATACTGTAGGCTGGCCTTTAGACAGGCATACCTATGGAGGATCCTTTCTTTATCACTTAAATGAGGGTGAACCTTTAGTTGCTCTTGGATTTGTGGTAAGTGAAGTCGGGTTTTTTCATGCTTGTTTGTTGTTGTTTGGTCTTCATTTTTATGCAATTTCTTTTCTCTGTTTTAATGTCAAGGTGAAAATACAATAGCAACAGACCAAATTTAGTACTTTCTCAGTCTTAAGTGTGTTTTTTCTCATATTAGGGAAGGTTAATTTGTCATATTAATCTGTCTTTAGTCCAGTGTCTTTTGTTAAGAACAAAATGGAAAACTTACAAAACTTGCAAATCAAATAAAGTTTAGTAAAGCCAAAACCAGATGATTAGTCAAAACAGCGCTCACAAAATTTTTGCAAGTTAGGACATATCTAAATCACGTACACTTTGTACAATTCACTTTCCTCATTCATGTGTCAGCCTTGGGTGTATATGCACTTTGAGAGAAGCATAAAAAGTGGAAGGACTCTGCAGTTCTGCAAGCAGCATCCCTTCCATTTCTGAGATCTTCAGTTTGTTCTTATCATTCTATACCCCCATTCGACTCGCCCTCTTTAGCAACTGTCTTTCTGAATTGGACAGGCAGCTTCTTCCTTCTTACTGCCTCTTTATCAGAAGCATTGAGATCGCTAGAGAGACTGTGTTGTTCTGCCAGCCAGTGATGCAAGGAACAATGGTAGGAAATGTTTTTCTAGCACCTACAGTCCTAAATGAAGCATGCACTATTTTATCCTGTGCATGTGCTTTACACACAGACGTTTTAAGTGTCAGGGACATGACCTGGGCTTTTAGCAGCATGGGATTGAGGTGACCCTTTGGTCTCCTAGATTTCAGGAGGATTCCAGAGCGTGTGGGTGAAAGCTGTCATTGTGTCTAAATGTTTTGTAAGAAACATTGAAAAAATTTGTTAGCTTTTCTCAGACATGCATACTTGTCCTGTGCAGATTTCCAGTATTGGAATTAGTAAGTATGGACAGGAGGCATTCAAATTCTGTTTTTAGAAGGGTAGAGAGCTTTGATTCTTACAGAGAAGGTAGTCAATAATGTTCATATTATCTTCAGCTCAGATAGAAGAAAATCACCATTTGTGTGAACATTTAAGGACTTTTTTGGTCTTTGAACTTTACACCTATGTCAGTCTGAGCTGATTCTTGTATTAGCATTATCTTGCAGTTGTTTTGAAAATTGTTCATTAACTTTATCTAGCAAGGAAAGTAGATGCAAGCAGTGCTCTAAGAGCGGTGAGCTGCCAGAGAAATCGAGGTACTGTTTGTTGCTGACTCGTGATATATTTTGTTATTTGTCTCAAATAAAGCTTACAGGAACTAGAAATAATCCCTTTCTCAAAAGAGAAAATTCGGCAACATAAGTGCTTTTAAGAGTATATTAAAGATAGACAATGCAGAGTATATCTTTGGGCAATTTCTCAAATGCATAAGGTAAGAATCCTTGGCATCCAAGCAATTGGCAAAATCTTTCCCCCCCATTTTCTGATTTCATTATTGCTCCCCTGTGCTTTATTACAATGGCTCACCTAATTGGAAATGATAATTGACTCTGCTGAATGATGTGAAGAACTGTTCAAAATATGTGAGCACAAGGGCATAACTATCTAGAAATAATTGTTTACCTCTTCTTCCAGCTTTTTTAGGCCAAAGAGATTTTGAAACACAAATTTAAAACAAGTTTTCTCGCTTATCCTGCCCATTAAACCATGCTTAATTTAATTTCACTATTTTATTTTAAAGACAGCTGGAAGGTGGTTACAATGCAATTAAATATTTTCCATGCTTCGTTTCAGGTAGGGCAGAGAACAGTCTTGTAGCAGCAAATTCTCAGATTTGCTTCTGCTATACTGTCAGTAGAATGTATTTTTGGCAGTGGTTTCTCCAAACAGAGAGATCCTGAGGTTGGTTTAGTATAAAATAGTTTATAATTTTTTTTAAAGAGATGATGTGGTTTTATGTGATTGTTTTCTTTTCAAATTTTTGTTAAGATTTCGTACTTTATTTTCATTAATGTACTTTTTTTTTTTTAAGGTTGGTTTAGATTATCAAAATCCCTATTTGAATCCATTTAGGGAGTTTCAGAGGTGGAAGCACCATCCTAGTGTACAGCCTACTTTGGAGGGTGGAACAAGGATTGCCTATGGTGCCAGAGCATTGAATGAAGGTGGTTTGCAGGTAACTTTTTCCTGAAGTTTTTTACTTTGTGTTCTCTATAGCCATGTTTTTAGTGCTGTAGATTCAGGTTGCATGCTGTTGGGAAACAACTGAACTATAACAAAGATGAGTAAGGCCAAAAGTTTTGCTGGACAGAAAAGCTTCGTTATCTGGCTGAATACTGGCTGCTGAGATTTGCTAGATTTAGGCTCTGTCTTACTACAAATCTTCTGACATAGTCACTTTACCTTCTAAATGAAATATGTAGTAGAGTTTATATTGCAGTCAAATGTGAAGAAGCTACAGATAATTCTTTGTTGTGCCTGGAACCCTGGGAAAGAGAGGGTAGCACCACTCCTCTGTTTAGGGTTTGGTTTTTATTTTTTTTGTGGGATTTGGGGCAAGGGGGCACATTTTCCAAATGATGTGTGTATCCTAGGAGAGGGAACTTCTTTCCAGTGCTTGACCCTTAAGTCAGTGATGGTGCTGAAATTGTTACATAGCTTGGCAGATAGAAGTCTTCACTTCCTCAAGTACAGCTACTTTCGGTACTTCACATGCACAAATTTGAATGACTGCTTTCTTGGGAGATGGAATACCGTGTTCATTTTGTTCCCTTAAGGAGTCTAAAAGGTGAAATTTTTAGAATTTATCCATCAGGACTTAAGGTCAGTTGAAAGGGTTGGGACAACTTGCAGGAGAAATAGTCTAGAGTTTATACATAACAGCTCAAGTCCTTTAAACCGGTTAGCTTCTCATGTAGGAATCTTGAAACACAGGACACATCTGTGTGTCCTGGACTCCCATATCTGTCTTCTAGATGCTTCTTGCAGTTTGGAACTTAAAACTAGCCTGAGTGTTCATGATCCGTAGCCTGGCGGGGGAGCATTTCATTCTGCTCTCTGACTACTTTGTCTTTCTTTTTTGAACGTCCTCCTCAGTGAAAATGTGGCTTTGCGCAGCATTTTCAATACAAGTAGAATTTCAGCAGCAGTGTAACTGTTGTCACAGTGTTGTGGAGTTAGGCTTTGACACCAGCATGCATGCCTGGGACTGAGTCACGTGGGTTCATGAAGCAACTTCTTCATTACACACGTGAGATGCATTTAATCAGTCTGTGGGTTGATTACTTTGTCCACTCTCAAGTGGAAATGGCGTCATACTATGCTGTAACACAACTGTGCCACTAGCTTAGTTCAGAAACCATTGTTGGTCCATTATTAACACAGATAATGTAGAAAATGTCAAGATGTTTTTCATCTAGACTTTTATGCAAGAGGGGCTTCTGTTTCCACCCTGTGCACTGGTTTGTCTGTCACAAATAGTCATTTCTGAATTTCTGGCTTTGATGAAGTAGCCAGATTGTGACTTCAGTTGCATACTCCTTATACTGCTTGAAACATATGGCTGAAAGAACATGGTATTTTTTAAGTTACTTACAGACATTGGTTGTGCTAAGTCAAACAGACAGTAGGACTATAGCTCTCGCGCATCTCTGCCTAATCTTTGGACTACTTCTTTGCTGGACTTAAAACATGATGTCACTTACTTTGCACTGCTCCTAATATAAAAGCATGGGGTTTGTGGTGTGGGCTTTTTATTTCCTGTAGATAGAATTGCCTAGTTAATCATGAAGTCACAATTTTAAATGGCTTTTTTTAATACACGCTTTCAGTAAAAAAAAGCTTTATTGATGAGTCACTTAGGAAGATTTTAAGATTAGCTCTTCTTTTGCATGTGTTGCTTTGATTAATAACTGTAGCAGTCTGACTCATTTGCATCACTGGAGTCCAGGAATATTTTCTTATGTAAGTTGTTCTGTAGCTCCAGTTTTCTTTTTGGTGACAGTATTGCATCAAATAGGTGTACAAAATTACCATCAAGCTAAACTTTTTTGTCTGTTTTAGATACATGATCATGTTCTTTAGTCTTTAACATATAGTGATGCTAAGTTGGTGTGTGTGTGAGAGAGAGCGCACACTCTTGGATGTTTCCCTGATTTTGTAGCTTTGTGGGACATGTGGAGGGAGGGGACAGTTTAACAGACTACATAGCTGTTATTCCTTTGGTTTATTAAAATTGCAAAATCAAGCATTAAGAAATGAAGAAATTCTCATGCAACCTTCGTTTTGTCTCTGTTTTATCAAAAAATTTGAAAAGATTGAAGAGTTCGGGGGGAAAAAAAAAAGGTGTTGCTGCTGTTGAACAATGTGTATTATGCATATCAGGGGGGAAAAAAACCCTTCATATTGATGACCCATGCCAGTGCCAAACATTAGACTCACTTAACAGGTTTTCAACCCTGGGCTGAGCTAAGGGGAGGAGAATGCGGGGTTCCCTGTCTGCTGGGAGGGAGGACTCTGCAGGGAGCAGGAGTCTTCTCTTCTTCCCTCCTCCAAACCAGCCTTGTTCTGTCTCCTTGCTGCCAAGAGGACGATGTCTTCTTCAGGTGCTCAAGGTTGGAAGGGTTTTACCCTGTATCTCAGGGGCAGGGAGGGCTTGTGCCATGCTGGCATGATGTGTTCCTTCAACTCAATAAACTGTGGAAGCAGGAGCCAAGTGCCACAGTACTAATAATGAGAATTACTAACAAAGCTGGAGTAGATGTAACCTTTTGTGTTATATGACTGATCTCATTTACACTTTGGTAGTATGTTGGTCACTAAGTACCTGTTAAGTGAAACAGTTGTTGCAGAAGAAAAACATTTGATCACCATCTTTACATGTAATCGAAAGAGTGAGTCAAGAAATCTTTCCATGCTTATGCCAGTGCTGCATCGTTTCATCCTAATAGATATGATAGAATAACTGTTTTCAGGCAAAGGTCTTGCAAAAAGAGAGGACATCCTACATGCTTAATTCCTCTGAAATACTGTTACATACCTGAACTTATGACTTCTGGTCACTGACAACTAAGTTAAAAGTTGTAGTGGTGTTTTCAGCCTAAATTACCTTTCCTGTGAACCAAAGCACTAAGTCTGTGATTAAACAAATTGCCCAAAACACAGGGGAAATGCTGTGTAGTACAACTTTTTTACTGACTACTACATGAATATCCAGAAGTGGCCAGCCCTGGCTGAATAGTAAACAGAAAACCATTGAAAAAGCAGAAGAAACAAAATGGTTGTTTCAGATCATCTTGAATTCCAAGGAATACATTTGGTTTTTTGTTTTGACAGGTTTAATGAAATAAAAACTACTTGTTTGGGGTCAAATTATTTAAGCTATTAAAAATTAATTCTTTCAGGCAGCTTTAATAAAAGCAGGATGCTAGATTCACAAGCACTGCTCAGTACTAAAGACTTTCGGAGGAATGCTGTGTTCATAACAGCTTCAGCAATTTCAGACCTAGGATTTGATCACAGCTTTCTGCTCAAAGTGCTGGAGTCAATCCGTGTTTTGAAGCTGTTCCCTGTCTAAAATCTTAATCTCATTGGATGAGGGTGAGAATAACTCTCTTGATAGTTGAGGTATTCCTTAGTTATATACAGACTTACACCATAGTATATAAATACTATAGAGCTGATGTTTGCAAATCATCTAGCTGTCTTGGTTTGTGAGTTGACTGTCCTCAATGATGTTATACTTCTTACAGAATGGGAGTGAGACAATGATTTTGCACCAAAAATATATTTATTGGCTGCTGACCAACTTCTAAAATAAGTGGGACCTTACTGTGTGGAAAACAGGAACACAAATGTCTTGTTTTTTATTATTATTATTTATGGGGTTTGTTTTTATTTTAAAAGAATTTACTTAAACTTGAAGGAGGAAAACAGTACCGGTGGGTCGCATTACCAGTTTTGTTGCAGACAAAGCAACTGGAGAGAGGATGTTGAAGGGATGCTATTTTCACGGCTTCAATATAAGGAAAATGTTGTCTTGACATTATTTTATACTCAGCCCCAGTACAATGTGTGTATTCTTATTTGCTTACTATGCCAAAATTCCTTAATTAAGTAAGTGGAGTAACTCTGGTGTATTTTTAGATAGTGCATGTGCATGTCTAAAAATGTAAAGGACACTCAAGCCTCATGCCAGTTTCATTTCCACAATGTTATTTTCACTTTAAAAAACCAAAACCAAACAAACCAACCACCTTCCTTTCTGTTTCCTCTTCAGTCAATACCCAAACTCACCTTCCCAGGTGGATTACTAATTGGTTGCAGTCCTGGACTCATGAATGTTCCTAAGATTAAAGGGACACATACTGCAATGAAAAGCGGCATGTTGGCTTCAGAAGCCATCTTTAGCCAATTAATCGATGAAAATCTCCAATCAAAGACAATAGGTAAGATAACTGTACTTTGATTTGTAATTACCTTGTGTTCAACTGGAACCACCAGCTGCTTAGCAGTAACTAAACGTAAACGTGTCTGAAGGAATTAGTTGGGAATGCAAATAAATCATGAAATGAGTGAGTGGTTTAAAAATTTATTTATTATTTATCTATTCTTTATTTACTATTTATACTGTTAAATGATTTAAGAAAGAAAGACACTAATAAAGTTTTGCTTAGTTATTCTTAAGTATTGAACCTACTGGTAGAAAAAAAAATGCCTCTAACGAGTATCTGAAAAGTAAGCTTACACTTCCTGTGTAAGTAAACAAGAATAGCATATATTTCTTGCAAATGTTAAAAATTAACACTTTATGATTCAAAAAGTGTTGCTGAAAGACTACAGAATCGGAGAGAAAAAATTAAAAGGAACAGATTAAATATAAGCAAAACAGGGTGAGATTTTTTCAAGTTTGCTCTCTGCTGTTTTGTTAATTGCTAGGATACTTTTTTCCTTTGGTCCTTTTAATTTTATAGTCTTCTCAGTTTGAGACTACATGTATTTCCTGTTATATGTAATGCAAGCACACTGAAGTAATCTGATCCTGACTGCGTTGTGGCAATTTATTTAAACCTTGGTTGTTCCCTTACATCCGTTTACAAAGACAGCACAGAGAGAGAACCCGATTAGAGTTTCAGTCATTCTGAAACATTCACACTACAGCCAGGTGCCACATGATTATTATTTTAGAAATCCCTTCTCTGCAGTGGTAGATTCAGTCCTAGGGAGCTCTCGTTCAGCTGACTCATGCAATACACATTGCCACAGAGGGTATGCTGAACCATTAAAACTTCAACTCATATAACAGGTTAAAATGCTTAGAACCCATCTGAAGCAACCGCTTTTACTGGGTAGTGTGCCAATCTTGTTTGATTATGGACAGGTTCTATAAGCTGTTTCCAGTTTTGTCAAGGCAGTGGAGTATTACAGCCCACTTTCTTCTCTGTGCATAGATAACAAGCTTTTTTCAGAGCCTTACGTGAGACAGAAAATATGGACTGAAGCCTGTTTTCATGTATAGACAAGGCTTAGAACTTACTATTTAGAACATCTATTCCTATACATTAGTAACAGAGAATGTTGAAGGGGAAGCTCTCAGAAAATGTTCATTTGAAGAAACAACTCTTTTTTTCTAAGGTAATTACTTGGCTTTAACTACACTGCAGTAGGCGTCTCATGTCAAGTCTGCGATGTCTAGTATTTGTAAAGAATACAATCAAAGAGTTTAAATCAAAAGCTTGTAGCCTAATAGATCTCATTAACTTGCTGATTACAAAGGGAGAAAAATTGTTCTCTAGCACTGGCATCGTGCGTTGGGCCATAGTCATAGTTACTGAAATCGGAATGTTTGTGGTTGCGTAACTCATAAAGGAAAAAAACTTTTGAACTTGACAACATTAAAATTACAAACCTGGCTTTTGGGTCACAGGTGAATTCTCCAGGCCAATTCTTAGGTTCTATGAGTGTGTAGCTGTTTTTGTTTTCCCATAGAGATGCCAGTGTAGCCCCCTGGCTGGTTATATTTTGCTGAGGTTTGAGGCAATTTCATGCTGCTCGTGGGTCATTAAATAGAGGCTACAAAGGAGCAGTAGATATCTGCTGATAACTGCCAACAAAACAGATCTCTTCAAGAGGCTGAAATACGTTGTGTAGTATATCCCTGGCTGGAACCTGAAATTCTCATTTTGCTGCCTTCGCTGGTAACAATTGCCTTTATTCAGCAATGACTTCTTTGTTTCAAGGATAGTCTTTATGTACTGTAGGTACCTAACAAGTAATGTACTGCCTTAGGACTTGATGTGCAAGAATATGAAGAGAACCTGAAAAAGTCCTGGGTCTGGAAAGAGCTGCATGCGGTTCGAAACATCCGACCATCCTGCCATAGCATCCTTGGAGTGTATGGAGGAATGATTTACACAGGTGTATTTTACTGGCTACTGAGAGGAATGGAACCGTGGACATTAAAACATCCAGGTAATTTCATTGCCTCCTGAAAGAAGATACTAAATGTGTCTGTCAGTCTTTTCTGGTCTTAGTTGAAGCTATCTGGTCAAGTGGTGAGGCTTTAAACTGTAGAAAATAAATCAACGATAAGGCAGCGAAGCAGACTTTGTCATATTACCTAGTGTATAATTAATGTAAATGAAGATGTTAAAACACTATTCTACTTAGTATAGTTTTTTGTTTCATGAAAAAGGCTACCTTTTATGAAATACTTCGTTCTGGTAACAAGGAAAGTTAAAATAGCTTAATTAAATTGTTCTTGAGTAACTGCAAATTACAGTAATTCTATACTGAAACTTATTTATTAAAAATATATTTAGGACCAGATTTTGCACAGCTCAAGCCAGCCAAAGATTGCACGCCTATTGAATACCCAAAGCCTGATGGAAAAATCAGTTTTGATCTCCTGTCGTCTGTGGCTTTAAGTGGTACGAACCACGAACACGACCAGCCTGCTCATTTAACTCTCAAAGATGACAGCATCCCTGTGAGCAGGAATTTGGCTGTTTTCGATGGACCGGAACAAAGATTTTGTCCAGCAGGTAGGTAATAAAAATGTGTGTGAGCTGCTTTTGCAAGATAAAAGACTGAAGTGCTCCAGGAAGAGTCCGCCTGGCCTACTACTTCAAACATTCTATCCCAGTCCTCTTCCTAGAAGAGGGTTCAAGTGCAGGTCTTGAAATATGTTAACAGTACTTTCATGGCAAAATATTTAGCAAACATGGGAGAAGGCAGTTGAATTATACTAGTAATATACTTCCCTCGTTAACGCTTGCTGCTAAGTAGAGCATACATGCAGGGGGAAACCGTTCAGTGAAGTGATAGCTCTCTTTTGCTCTTCACAGGCGTTTATGAATATATTCCTCTGGAAACAGGAGAAGGATCAAGACTGCAGATAAATGCTCAGAACTGTGTCCACTGCAAAACCTGTGATATTAAAGACCCAAGTCAAAACATTAACTGGGTAGTGCCTGAAGGTGGAGGAGGACCAGCTTATAATGGGATGTAAACCGATGGGAAATCTATTCAGTGATTTCTGATCACCAACAAATAAGTTGGAGTATTTTATGCTGCATTGTAATTACAGTACAGCACTGACTTGAATGTTAAAGAGTTTGTGGCTAATGTGCCATTCTGAATTTTAGGTATGACTGCTGCATTAATTGGAAAGTTGGTGCCTTCCGGTTAAACCCTAGCCTTATTTAAATAGAACTTCTTTACAGGAGTTGTGTGGCAGGCAGAAGAAAGTTCTTCTCAGGACTGACAAAGGAACTTTGGATCTTGGATTTATTGCTGAAGTTCAGTGATAACAGGAGCCATATCCAGAATTGTGGGTATGGTGGAAGAATTTAGTACCTACCCTTAAAAAAAAAAAAGTATTTTCTCTCTATCTGGAGTGATTTACTATATGTAATCCTACCCTGCAGTAGGGAAAATACTGTCGCTGCTTTTAAGTGTCACACATTTTACATCAAATTTACAGTTAATTTTTTTTTTCCTGTTGATAATAGGAAGCCCATCTGCAATACAACCTGTAAGGTGGTTTAAAAAAAGTGTAGTACTTGCACCTTCATTGTATGTCTTACCAGTGTTTTTATTCCTTACAAGAAATCAGGCCTCCTCTAATAAAAACTCTTAATAGAAACTGCCTAAATTGTCTTAGTGCTTCCTAAGAAGCTTGGTTTAACACTAACTATTAAGCTGCAAAAACATAACCACTACAGATTTACAGGTTAGAAGTACACCTGAGTCACAAAACACAAGTTATTACAGCTTAAAAAAAGAAGAAAAACACCACCTTTTAACAGTTTGTCTTTATTATTAGACTTTTGAGTTGTAAACACTGAAAACTGCAGTACAGGGCAAATGAAAGAAGCAGCTCCATTCATCCTTTTGCGTGAGTTAGTGCATAGACTTAGAAGTTTAGAAAAAAATCAAGCAAACATTTTAGCATAAGCTGCCTTCTCTTTCTCCTTTTGGGCTTTTATCTTCTGTTTGATTCTGAGTGTTTCCATCTGAATAGCTGGTTAAAAAGAAAATCCATGATGCAGTTATAGTAATCTCTTTACATTAGGTCTCATACATCAAGACCAGGTCGCGCTGCCGCAAATTACCCATATTCTTTTGTATACTAGAACTCCATTTAATCTTCTATTAGGTCAGCTACTAGCAGCAAAAAAACCCTTGTCCCTTACTTTGCTTCACCTGGTAAGGTAACCAGGCAGAGGAGGGTGTAGCAAGCATAGTATTCGTGCCAACACAGAATTTCTGAGCTAAAAGTCTTACCCAATTAGACCAGGAAATTAAGAAAGTTAGCAAGGCCCCTGTGAGAGGGCGAGATGGTTCAAGAAGTGTGCTCCCGACCTGCGTAAGCAGGTTACGCAGTGCACCAGAAACATCACTGCTGTGTGAACGGTTTTCCACCTCAGTGGGGTCTGTGCTCAATATATCAGCATTTCAGCTGTTAGAATCCAGCATTCTGGGCATCGCACTGGTACGATTTCCTGCTAAATACTATCCTGGTTACTTAGTTACAGTCTTTAAAAAAGGTAAAGAATCTATAAAGAAACAGCTTTATTTTACCTTTGTCTTCAGGGGCTATTTCATGAGCCTTTTTAAGATCAGCCTTAAATAAAAAAGAAATATAAATTAATGTTCTGATGAAATGTCTAGATTAAAAAAAAAAAATTAAATACTGTGATCATTACCAGTGCCTGATCGAGATCTTTTATTCCCTGCCATCCTTGAGCCCGTCTGTAGAGAGCTTTAGTATTTGCTGGATCTATTTTAAGAGCCTGTAAATTTAATAAAATTGTCACATTAACATTTCATATACTTCACAGCCTCCCATCTCCGCAAATGGCACAGTTCACACCAGCAGGCAATCTCCCAAGTTGGTTTGAGGGTAAGCTGTCAAAACATTAACTGTGTAAAAAGGGAATGGTATATTGTAGCACACTGAATAGCTAATCAGTCTTAATACTGCTGCACCAGAGGTGGTCTTTTGTGAAGGATGAGCATGCATGAGGGTAATAATGGAACCTCTGTGTGTGCATATACATATGTGCAATCTCTCTCTCTCAAGGCAAAAGTGTTGCAGTTCAAATTATCCTAACCTCGAGTCTCACAGTACACCGCTCTATATTGCATCTCCTTCCTTCACACCAGAAATACCTTAAATGGCATAATAAATAAAACACGCAGATTTCCTGTAAAGCTTTTTTCACTGTTGGCTAGAAGGATATATACAAGCAATCCATCTCATGCTTCAGGAGCCTTGCCAAGTTCCAGTCATTACGCCTTTTTTGAGCTGAATGGTTTCACTAATGTGTATAAGCCAGCTCTAATAGGACAATATCAAAATAGGAAATGCAGTGGCTGGGCAACGAGGTTGTTCTGCTATTTGATTACTTACCTCAGTTAATTTGGCTAGTTAGGTATTTTCTATTTTTGCCTGTGAAGATCTCATTCTTTTTTCTTATGGCCGATAGTTCTATAGTGTCTTTTTTTATTATTGTTTTAAAGACTATAGTTTCTTAGTAGTGATTAGAGGAAATATCTTTGCTTTAATGTGTGGCTTTATTAATTTCATTTATTAAGTTTAATTCATTAATTAAGAATTATAGTCATTAGACAATGCATCCAGATTTTTTAAAAGCACTTCAGTATTGGCTGTTTGTATAACAGAAGCATTACTCTGGGCACACATCCTGATCTGTCTGCTATAAAGCCTGAAGCCTCTTCTGTGTCAAGAACTAGAAAATTAGGTGTCTCTATGGTGCACACGTAGGTGGCGTTCCTGGGTTTTTAGCTCGACCACTGTGCTTACAGCTATTTTAAAGCAACACTTGTTTGAACAGGTTCAGCCATACACAATTCCTTATTTATACCAAATAATGCATGTATTACAGATTGTTAATTTAAAATGCTTTTGGCCTTAGGAAATCATGCAAGTGAAAGCGTGTATAGTTTCTCATTAACAATTACCTTGAACTCTACTAGTTAATCTTGGGAAACTGGTGTTCTGATTAAAACACTGATACACTGTTTAACACTTGTGATGAGGCGTAAGCTAAATAGATTACAGAAGCCTATTACAGCTATGGAATTGCCTTTATCTAACAGTTGTTACCTTAAAAAAAAAAAAAAATGAAGGTTTTGTTTTTTTTTTTTTATTCTCAATGGTAAGTATTACAATTAGTAGTTTCTATCGTCTGTAACACTTAAATGCTGTTTCAATTCTTACCATTTTCTAGATGACAGATACCACATTACACAGTTTTCTCATTATTTCTTTTTTCCCCACCCCCCACATTTGTCCATTCTGAAGACAGGTTTGTGAAAGTTCCCAATGTGGTGACACCATCAACGGGCAAGAAAGCAAGCCAGCTCTCTAAAGACCCCTCACAGATTAGCCGAGGCTCCCGCTTTCAGCATGAAGCCCTAGGAGACGCTGCTCGGGATCCTCTGCTAACAGATAAGAGCATTCTTTACTCTGTTTCCTTCAAAATTTCAGAGTTTTACTGCATTATTTAAAGTTTCCTCAAACGTACTAAATCCTGTCAGTATGTCTATGTCACTGGTCCTTTTTTTTTTCTTTCAGTATTTCCATATTTATTGTTTCCTTCCTCCTTTCTTCCTATTCACTGCTTTCATTTCACCCCCAAGCCTTCCTGAAAGGACTTTAGTTAGAAAAGTCACTTCAATTAATAGAATACAAGACCATCAAATCTAAAAGCAAGTAAAACGTTTTGCTTATACTAGTCTTCTAGAGAGAAGCATTCCTCTTTCACTGAAGACAGTTTAAATTTAACTCTTTGCAATACAATTATTAGCTCTCCCCTTAGGATGCAAAACTGACAACGAGAGTGTGCGCTTTTTCTGGTAGTAAGCAACAGTCCTCTTTTGTTTGTTTCTAATGAGTCATTTCAATTTCAAAATCCTTTAAAAAAGCCACATACTGAAAAAGTAGTAACTTCACAGTCAGCCTTCTATTTTGTTTACTTTCAAATCATAAAACTTGTCAGAAGACTGTTAGAGCTTTGTAGTTTCATTCCCCATTTGCTGTATAGGCCAATTGTTAATCAAAATACTGAACATTAAATTTACCTCTGAACAACTTTCAATGGCTCCCTGCCAATCTGACAGTTTTAGTTTACAAGCACCAATGTTTAAAACACAGGTCAAAGCAACAGCTTTTAACTTCGGTTTGTCTGCCTCCTCTGCCACTGCTTTAGAAGCTTCTACATACCTGCAGAAAAACAGATTTACAAAGAACATGTATTAGTGTTGCAACTTCCATTTTGTTCTGCCCTTAGCTATCTTCCCACAGATATGTGTGAACTGGCCTCTCCAAATTGGTATTTTTGAAGCAGCTTCAATTGCACTATTACAAATATTTATTAAACTAAATACATAAGACCTACCCTGACAGAAAAGATGAACTCACCGGCACATGTTTTCCTGTAACTCTTATCCCTCCACTGTACTAAAAGCATTCTTTTTCTTAGACTATTCTAGATGGCATGAAACCATTTGAATTTATCTCAAAGACTGTTTATTCTCAAAAACCATGTTGCTGGTCAGTGACAAAAAGTCAACACCACCACTGCACCTTCCAAACTCATGGGAACTTTCATCTCTTCTTCAGTAGCATTCCCCTCATGAGTTCCCTCAGTAACATTTTAAATTAATTTAGGTATCTATAGCTAAAAGATGAAACGAACTTTACTTTTAGGAGCCTTAGTAACTCCACCTTCTTTCTACTCTCTTCCTTCGTGACTTTCTTCTTGGTTCAGGACTAAGCCACATCATTTACTGCATCTCTACTTCATAGGCAAACTGTATCTCATTCTTCTTAATTTACAGTGTGCTAATGCTGTCAGTTTTTTGTTTCAAGTGGCAAATGTCCATTGTGGATATATAAGTCCTAATTCTTTTAATGGCCTACTTGATAGAACTTCTTTGGATTTTATTTAAAAAATGAAAAACGTGTTTGCATACATTCACATCTTAAGCAGGCCATGATTAATGCAGTCTTTGCAGATCAGTGCCTATGTAAGTTCAATTTTTGCATGCCCAATCTTTTGAGTGTTGCATGGTTTGTATACAACTTTGAACCACAGAAATAAGCAATACTTGAAAAGTAAATTAAACATAGTCCCAGTGATTTTTTCACTTGCTGGGCATCATGCAAAAGATGAGACCCAGAAGAGAGAGAAAAGGGTAAAAAGCTAAAGAGAGTTATAATACAAAACTGTGTTATGTTCAACACAAACAGAACAGTATATATAAATCACACCAAAACGTGAAAAGACTGCAACCATTCTGGAAACAAAATTAGAGCTTCCAAGTCAAAGAAATTGTAAGATTAATATCAAGGGAGACAACAGGAAACAATACATTTTTTTGACAAAAAAAGTGTCAATTCTTACATATAAAATACGTTTTTTTTAAATGGTTAAGTAGCAATAAGACAAGAAAAAGAACAGAAGATTATAATGGCTACTATTGGTAAAAGCAAAAACCAACATCACCAGATGGTTTGCTAGGCAAGTTGTACATAAGACATGGGAGATGATAAGAGCTATTCTACACCTATCAGTTCTGGCAAAGTGCCAGCTAAAGTACACCATCCTATGTAAAGTATTAGATTTTAAGATCCAACAACAGGGTATGTCCACAAAAATATGACCTATGAAGAAGAGCTGGAATGATCAGATATGTTGAGTCTAGATAAGCTGCTATCCTTTCCATCCACAAGGACAAATAAGCACCAACTAGAAGCTCTCTACTCAAATTGGAAGAGCCTTCATTGAGTGTGCTTAAGAGTGAGCTAGACAACTAATTGTAAGGGATGGCAGAATTATACTTTATATTTAGCTAAGAATGGGGGGAGGAAATGGACAGATACAGCACAAAGCTCCTTAAAGATCCATTCCAGCTTTTTTTCTATATGATTTCTAAAAGCTTTACATTGAAATCCTATTTACTTCGGGATTTCTGTTGGTCTATGATATGCTTTTTAAGGGCAGGGGGAGATGTTGCATCTTGAGTTAGTATTGTAATTAAAGGATTCATTTTTATGCTTCAGAAAGACATCATTTGTCTGAAACCCAGTCAGTTAAAAACCTCAGGTGAAGCATTAAGCATGGCCAAATTCTTTTTCTTTCATTATTGTTACTGCTAGCTAACCAATAATCATTAAGAAGGCAGGGACAAAAGTCAATATAATTTGTTATAAAAGTTTTTAGGAGAAGCTCATACACATAAAGCAAAAAGCATGAAAAGAAGAAAGGCGCGGTATGGAAATAAAAGCAGAAAGAACACAATTTTGAAGGCAAGTCTGAATTATATATGGACTCAGGACGATGGTATGAAGCCTCAGAAAAAATAATAATGAATTAATAAGGGTCACATTTGGGGATACTCTCTCTTGAACTTATTTCCTAAACCTGCTGGTTTTTAGAAGACAGAGAAAAAGTATCTCCCTCCTTTCCGGTCTATTAACTACTCTGTGTATACTATTGTGCTCTTCTTCCCAGTTATGCACCAGCACAACAAGAACATTAAAAAAGGAGCATTTAGTCCATTCTAAACAATACTTGCTGCCTATAGCTCTTACCTAGCAATGAGCAGAAGACCTACTTGAATAAGTAATTAAAAATCAACCAGATGTTTTCCAGATTTAGGAGGCTCTTTTTTTTTTTTTAAAAAAAAAAAAAAAGAGCACAGCAACAGGCACTTTTTAAATGCACATATCATTGCTTGATTGCAGTATTAATTTGGGTTACAGGAACTACCTGATTGAATGATGATAGCCTTACCGTAAACTTTTACTATACTTTTTAGCTGCCACTGCCCAATTTTGCGATTTGAAGAAAGTATTTCCTATATTCTTTATGTCTTCTGCTATGGCCACAATCTTGTCAACCTAATAAAATAGATGGAAAATATAAAGTATGAATGAGAAATCTTGAATTACTTAATGTTTAACAGTAGGATCCCATGTCCATCCTCTTTTCAAAGATTATTATAAAATCTCAGAATAAAAATATTCCAATTTTAGACAAATACTAGCTTCAAACCACTCCTATAATATTCTCTACTTTATGTAACACAACAGTCTGAAAGATGAAATTCCTAATGGGTTTTCTCTACAGTATAAAGGGTAAGAAAATACTAGAGACAACATAGCAGTTCAACTCCTTCTCCTAAATGCAGCTACCCACACAGAGTTATATATAAAGGTGTTGACCGTTATTCATAGAAAAGAAGACATGTTAACAACCAAAGCATTCAACAAGGACTGCTTTATTCCCAAGAAAATTTTGTCTCCTGCTTCTCAAAACCGTATTAGTCACCTGAACTCTGCACGCTCTCAAACTAGAAGTCGTATCAACACAATTCTCCTTCTCTCAAAACACTTAAAACATCCATGGAAGGAGAAAAAGAGCAACTGCCTGTCTTTATCAAATCCACCATTTCTATTTCCAGAATGGCATACATTTCAAGTGTTAAGTTACTTTTCCAGTAGCAATAAACAGTTTATAATTACTGCCATCTATACCACAGTTGCCTTAAGCTCTGTCAAATGTATATATTGCCACTTGTAATACTATCAGTTTACACTTCTACCGAACTAGAATTAATGACCTTGAAAAAACCTGATCACAGCATGAGACCAATGTCACCACGGTTTCTGTAGTTAGTTTGTATGAACAAGTTTAAAGTTAAAGGAGGCAGGCACCCGCCAACTTCAGTTCTGAACCACAGCAAATACTATCCAAAAACATTTTCACAAGTTGAAGTGCTTCTCAATAGCTAGATATGAGGTTTCTAGCTGTAGTGGGTTTTTTTACTATTGTAATTCTGTATTTGGAATCTAGATGTGCAGCCCCCTTTTTTTTCCCTCTCTCGCCTATTTCATGATAAAGTGAAAACTTGCAGAAGAGCTGCTTTCATCAGTCTGCTCCCTAACTCTCAACAACAGGTCTTCCTTCAGTTTGAACAAATTGAAAAGCAAACAACTACTGGGAATTTAGACCGACTAGCTCTGATGTAGTAAAAATATTTTTAAAAGGTTGATCTTTTATTATTTCTAGTAAGTGACACAATCTTTTTAAGGGTGGATATTTAAAAAATTGCACAGAAAAGGTGTGTAGGTACAACATAAAGTTAGTCATCTGCAGGATGGAGTTCTAGTAATAGCAATTTGTCACTACAGCACAAACAAAAGTAAAAAGAAACAAGGAACAGAAAAAAATTAAGTGTAATAATTGTAAGTAATTGTGGTTTTAGTTACTAGGAAAAAATCAGCTGTACTTAGCACTGAAAAAAAAGAGATGGCAGTCCCCTCACACAGCATTCTCTTTCCTCAAATTCAATGTCACCATTTAATCAGGACCTTGATCAATTCTTAAAAGGCTTAGTGAGCATCATCACAGATACCACGTAACTGAGATTACCTACAAGTCTTGCATCCTGTAAAATACCTTAAAAGAAAAATACTTACATCTTTCAAGTCTATATCTGAATCTTCAGGAAAATCTGGATGAGCATCTCCAGATCCATCCTGGGGAACAATTCCCCAGTCATCTCCTTCCTTTAGCTCTCCACATTCTGCAATGATGCACAACTGAAAAAAAATAAAGTGTAAATAGCAGTATTGCTTATTAAGGTACAATTTCCCCCCAAAAAAGCCACAACTTCTGAGTGCTCTTTGAAATTCAGTAAAAATGCTTTTTTATCCATTGTTGTGGGTGCGTTGATTCAGAAACCCATCGCTTCGTTAGCCTATCCTCATCAAACGGCTTTTATCACAGTAAGTGTTGCCTGCAGAGGAGCAGCATTCCATGAACACCATACCCACGCCCCATGGAGAGGCTGGAAGAGGAACTGGCAGCAAGCTGAGCTGCAGCAAAACACAAGACGTGGAAGTTCTACTACATTAGAGAAGATGGTTCTTTCTCATACTGCCAAGGCTTTTAAAATTACAGAGGTATTCATTTTTTCAAACAACCACAAACTGACATGACCTGGACACCAACTGCTTTTCCAGAAATATGATGACTTCTGTCAATAAAATTCACAAGAATTACGTATCACTTAGGTAGGGTTGTGAATTCCACCTTTTAATTTTGTCACCCATCCTACACTTCTAACTATGCATTTCCACCTCCACCCTGATAAAGGCTTCCACCCTCACAGCTGTGTTAAACAATAAATCCATTGTTTGTGTAGGGGAAATTTACAGCAAAAGAACAAAAGCCTCTTAACAGGGACAGTAAAATGGAAATTAACACTGTCAGTAAAAATAACTGGTTAACATTTAATAGTTCTAAACGTTACACCAAGCATTTAGGAGAAATGAATACACATCATATAATGGAAGAATAAACATAATCCCAAAGTGCTTTGTATTTTGCTTACCTTAGCAGGTTTTTCTCCTTTTACTTCAACATTTTCTAGCATTTTAACTACACCCATTCCTTTGATCACTTGGCCAAACACCACATGTTTCCCATCCAGGTGAGAAGTAGGCACCGTTGTAATAAAGAACTGAGAGCCATTAGTACCAGGTCCTGCATTTGCCATGCTCAGCAGCCCCGGTTTATCATGCTGTGTTGGGGAAAAAAAAAAAATCACAACCAACATATAAGAGTTCTGTTATAAAACCATACATAAGATTCTATAAGGCTATTAATATATATAGCAAGGACAGCCATAATGACAACTTGGTAAACCATCCAGTTACATACAGTTGGCAACTAAGTCTACCTACCATGACTGAGGAGGGCAAATTGCCCAGCTCTGCATCTTCACTTGCCACCTAGCAGCCTAGCAAGCAGAGCCACATGTGTGACTTGATGCTGTAAAACCAGTCTGCTTCATGTGCCCTTGATCCCCTGCACAGCTGCTGAACTTAAGACAGATCACCTGAGAGAGATGTGAAGTTCCTCACTGGATTATTCAAGACCACTGGGCTCAGGAAACACAACAAAACACCACTTAAACCAACTTTAATGTTGCACTGCCAAGAAGGGTATGTATTGTTAATTTTATAAGGGTTACTTACAGAAAGTATTTGTAGAACTATGGGGTTTAGGGGACTGTGGTCTTTACTGTCTAAAGGTTGGTGGGGTTTTTAAACTCCTTCACTTTCCTACGGAAGCAGTTTTTATTCTGTTAGGATTTTTAACTACCTAATTATTTGGGCTTATGCTACCAGACCACAAACTAACAAAAATTTATTAAACAGCCTGACATGAGAAGATATTTTTTATAATTTCCTGTAAATACTTTTTCCTTCTTTGAAATAAGAACTATCTCGCTTCATCACACAGATTATTTAATTTTCATTTGTACTGCAAAAATGTACCTTTCATACGTGTTGTGAATCTCTTGTTGTTAAAATGGCGTGACGCAGCCATTAAGATATTATTCTCCCCAGGTTGATCTGGTTAAGTGCAAGGAACTCTGTTTAACCTAAGTCAGTATGTTATACCAAGACACTGGTACGTGACTGAAGCATGCAAGCTGCGGTATTCCTAAGAAACTTGATACCGTGGGGAGGAGAGGAGGGCAAAAAAAAAAATACAAGTATGACAGCACAGAGGAGATGGAAGCAGAAATTGCTGTGAAGTAGACCTCAGAGCTCAACAGGAGGTTGATTAGTTTGAGACAACGGTCTGAGACAGCTGTATTTAAGCATCTGATTAGTCCCTATACCCTCACCCACTTTGAAGAACCTGTTGTTTTGGAAACTGTTTTCCCACACAGTGTTTGGATTTCCATGGTGGTAGGGAGAACTCCTTGCCTGAGGTGTTCATCCGGTCATATGGCACAATGAGTCTGAATCTTTCAACCAGGACTTGGCTCAGGAACTCCAGGAAAAGGTTGTGCAGCTGAGAGCTAGAACTGCACCTAGCCAACAGAAAGCTACTGGAATAATCTTGGCTTTGTCTCTTTTAATCTTGCAACTCATCCTGGGAATCAGAGATGGCAAGTGACACAGAGGAAGCCTGTGTTCCACAGCAAGAGAAGGCATCTGGTAGCAAGCCTGCAGGAATGCAGCCTCCAAAACAAACATCTGACATTTTGCATTGGAGTTGCTGGCAAACAAGTTAATCAGAAGGGTTCACCCATAGAAGATTTTTGCAAATACCATTTGAGGCTGGCCACTGATTCACTGCCCAAGGCAGAATAAAACCTGTAAATCTTACTTGTTTTTTTGTTTTTAATTCCATTACAACTAATGCTAGACAACAATGATTTGTAAACAAAGAGCCAAGTAACAATAAGCTCTGGTGTTGCCTTACACCTGCATGTTTACCTTTTGTCTGTAAAGATTTGGAGGACAAGTTGGAAAGTTAGGGGCAGCAGTCTGGTGGCTCTGATCTTGATGCTTACATGCAACCCCATTTTGTTTGAGACCGAGTCTCAACGTTATTCCCATGATGAGAGTCTCTATTTATAAACAAAACTGTTGTCACTCATGCATTTTCTTGCCACGAGTGTTTTGAAAAACACTGCAGATAGATGGAGTGTCTTTCCTGTGATGGTTTTCTGCTTGTCATTTTGTAAGCTTATAAAGCAAGTAAGAAAGTCCAGACAAAATCCGATTCTCTGACCAATTCAAGGCTTGCAAAACTATGCCATGGTAATAACACTGCTTGAGGACTGTGTAAGTTGGGTGTTCCACAACAGCACAGCCATTAGCTGGAGAAGTGGCACCAAAAAAAGCCTAGTGGGATTGATTCAACTGACTGACAAAGTCTTGCAGTTTATTGCAATTTACAGGAAACCATACAAACAGCACAAGAACAAGCAGGTAGCTCCAGTGTCCTCAAGTGTCAACAAAACCAACTCGTCGTTGTCCGAGACAGTGGTTTGAGGACACTTTGCAGGACTGCTAGATTAAGTGCAAGATCCAATGAATTTCTACATAGTAGAGGCATTTTAAGTCCAACTAAAATCCTAGCATACTCAGCCAACAGATGATTGGAATTGAGCTTCCAGACTCTGTACAAGATCCAAGTGAGTTCTTCCACTCATCCCTGGCACACTGACAACTTTTCTTATAGCTGAGCAGTCAAAGAAGTACAGAAATGGGGATCATCTGCGTTCCATTCATAATTACCTCCAGATCTCACTTGACAGTACAACCAAAAAAGTAATGATGACAGAGTCTCCCCCTTCAGGGAGCCAGAGATCCTATGACATGGACCAATGCAGAAGAGTAACTTTAAGCAGCACCACAGCAAGGGTCAGACTTCAGAGAACAGCTCTCACAATTCTTATTAACTCTATGATGAATGCTGGAGCTACATTTGCAGCTATTGCTCTGAACTTGGTCATGGACTTTGATGTCCGGTTAGTGGAGGATTGCGAGCAGGCACAATTGCAGGCAGGCCTTTGTTTCACCCACGGGACAATGATGTCTGTAAGCTTTTTAGTCAGTGTTGTTGAGGAGTCATTCATACGCTATCACGTAGTAACACGATATGAAAACAGTTAATGCTGTGCTGAGAATTGTTACACCTACAGCAGCAGCTGTCCTGGCTGTTGTAAGGGGTACTTTGCAGAACATTTTTTTGTTGTTGTTTCCAGGTAGTACTCCCACCCAGGTTCAAGATGTGATTACTGATAGCTAAAGCACAGGGGACTTTTTCCAGCCACGCAGCTGTCAATGGACAGCTGAGAACACAGATGAGCACTCAGAACAATTATTATGGTTGCCACTTTTCTCCAGAATAGCTAAGTCTGCTAGCCAAAAAATGTAAGTCACAGTGTACAGGTAATACTTAAATTTGGAGATCTTCAAATACTGTATAAACTGTAGGCTTAAGGTACACAGACCTGCTGTACAGTATGGTGAAAAGCCATCTTCTTCCCTTTCTGGAATACCCATTTTTTAAAAAAAATTACAGAGCTAAAATGCTTAAAAAAAGATTTAAAAATAATACAGAAGGCAAACATTTCTTCTTCAAAAGCATAAAAAAGCAGCCAATCATATGTCAAAAGACAGACCCTGGAGGCATCAACTGCTTTTGATTTTGATGACAAAGAGAAGTCTGAAGAATGGTAATGCACATTTTGAAGTTTATGCCTTTGCAAAAGAAACAAGGCAAGACACAGGACACATCCTGAGAAAATTGTTGTTCAAAAAATTGCACTTGTTGTGTGTGTAAGGCACCTGCACCTGCAGTCTTCCTGGTGTCACTGGATGTTGATTTTGAGGATGAAGACAGTTTTAGAATGTCCTATTCTCGCAGCACAGCTCCCTCCTCTTTTCCCGCAGCTGGGCTGACAGAACTGCACGTGGGACTGCACTAATGGTTGCTAGTAAGGAAACAGTGAGCTCTGATACAGGAGTGGGAATAAGCAATGGGAGGGGTAGGAATTTCTGCCATCAAAGCCAGCATCTCTTAAAATGACATCCTCAAATAGAGACCTTCGCATATTCAAAACCTTGCTTTGTTCACAGCGCATTTTTCCAACGTTTTAGGTGGAGAAAAAGCCATTCATAAACAGCCTTTTACTTCTCATATCATTGAAAATAACTGTAGTGGGGAAAATGCTTTCTTTTAAATTTTCCCTTGGATTAATTCTGCAATCTACCATGGATTCCCCACTTCTTAAATAAGAAAGGTATTTCTCCCATCTAATCTTATGGATGTTATTAGTATATGGGGGAAAAAAAGCGTAAGATCCATTTAATGCTAACATACTCTATATGCTTCAGAGTGACAAAATTTGCCAGTCTTTTAAAATAATATCCCTACTTCAATGAGAACTGAAGTATTTTTTCAAATTAATTTCTGATGGTGCAATTAAAAATAAAATTTAACTACAGTTGTCTTTGTCTTAATGAGGTTGACCTCACTTTGTATGTATTCATCCATGCATTCATCCATGCATGCAGATGAATACAGTATTCAGCAAAGACTTGGACAAGGACAATCCAGTTGAGGGCTTTTTTTGCTGGGTTCTTTCCACTGCTTAAAAATATGTTAACCTTGGACTAAAGAGCGCTAATTCTGAACTTGAAGAAAAATAAAAATCACTGAAACTTTAGAAACTGAATACAATTAGTATTTACCTTATAATGGAAGTTTTCATCTTCAAATTTTTCACCATATATGCTTTCTCCACCTGTGCCATTTTGGTTTGAGAAATCTCCACCCTGGACCATGAATTGCTTAATAACTGTAAAAGAAAAGAATTATAAAATACAGCAGCAAGGCAGGAGAGGCACGAAGAAAAACAATTCAGAGATGAAGAATAATCCCTGTCTCCAGCATCTGTGCCTAAATAAAACCCAAAGCCACCTTTTATTTATCAAGTCTCCCCTGAGTACTCCTTTTCAGTTTAGTGGACATCACTTGGTATTTAACCCTTTGCCTGAAATCCATTTCAATCGATTTGCAACTCATAGTAAAATGGTTTTACTAACTTACTAGTAAATTTGTAAGTTACTATTGTCAATGCATGGTGAAAACATCTAGGCAGTGGGAGAATCAAAAACCAAAAACTTACTTTTAGTCAAGTTATTTCTTTAACAAGTGCTCCAAAATATTATTTAACATTATTTCAAATACTGATAATGGAGGATTTCTGTTCCCAACAGGATTTCATAGGACTTACTTCTGTGGAAAGGACATCCTTTATAATGGAGAGGTTTTCCAGTGGTAGGCCCTGTTCCCTTCTCTCCTGTACATAACGCACGGAAATTTTCAGCAGTTTTAGGTACAACATCAGCAAATAATTCAAAGACAATGCGTCCGACTGAAATGACAAAGAGAGAAGGAGGCATTTTTAAGGCCTGTCCTTGGCACGGTGATGTGTTCAGCGTTACAGGGCAAAGGAAATTAATGGTTCAGGCTTGATTAGTTTTGTTTCGAATACTATTAAATTTACATTTGGGGGATGTTCCATGGCAATCACTGGCAGAGCTACATTAGGTTTTTAGCAAGGTTGTTACCAACAATAAATTCCACTGTCAGGAATAACTCAGGGGGAATAAAGACAGATTCTGCCAAAACCTACCAAAAACGCCAAATGCATTTTCTGCCCAAAAACATGCATGGGAAACCACACCATATATGAAAGCCAAATTATGTATTCTAACATGCATGCTTATTTTATGTCTATTTTAACATACATACGCAGCTCGTTCAATCAGTATGTATTCTAACATGCATGCTTATTTTATGTCTTATTTTAACATACATACGCAGCTCGTTCAATCAAAACCAGATACAATTTTAAAAAGACTGTGTTGTGGCAACTTTTATATGATCAAAAGGCTTATGCCAAACATGTACACCAACCTTACTCCTCATTCTCTTAAACCCCAGCTTGCGTATGAATAATGGCTACTTACAGTTACAGATGCTACAAGCAATCGTTAAATCCAAAAATGCACATGTTTTAACTAAAGGAAGTGAAACCTGTGTAGCTAACAGATCCCATAATAGTCAACAAATGGATTCTGTGTCAAGTTCGCATCTTTTCACGAACTGGCTTCTCAGAGAGCTATTTCTCACTCCGAGCAGCTGCCATCAGCTGGTGCTCCTGTTTTCTCATCAGCCTCACAGTCAATTAGCTAAGATAACTTCATCTAGCGGAAGCTAAATGTAAATATATTAATTCTAATTAATACAGGAATGAAAACAAATTAGACAACTGAAAGTCAATAAAAGGCAAATCATCTTACAGACTTTCTTCTTTTATTCTTTTGGGTAGCAGAATGGATCAGAGGCAATATCCTAAGAACAAGGCAGCATCTGTCTTCACCCACGGGACTTTTGAAAACCTATGGTTCCAGGTATTACCCCAGCTTCCATGTCCTTGTTTGCTTACTTCCATTTTGACCGTTTGCCCAGATTTTTAATGACCTCTGGCAACACCGGCGATGCCACGAGAAGGA